AGATTCATCAAAAGCGATGTGGAAATAAATTATAAATAACCTCCAACCAGCTTCATTAAGTGTAGGACGTTTCACTGAAGTACAGTCATGAACACTGTGTTTGAGCTAGAGAGAGTAGATGAGGGCCAAGAAGGAATTAGATTATGCAGGAAGAGACTTGCAGCATCTTTTAACGAATTTACATTCCTCCTCAGAGGAACACTGCTTATTTATTCCCTGGTATATGTGACCATATGATTAATTCATCTGCCAGCCTGACAAAACTGACTCTTCAAACTGTTCATATATAAGGGCTTTTTCCAATATAGTCTTTTACCTCAGACACTAATTAATTATTAATTGATCTTTCCAAGAACAACTGTTCAGTGTGACCATGAAGTTCAATGCCCTGCCTTCAACATTTCCAACTCTTCAAGCAGAAAATAGCAGGACTTTAGCTAATGGGGCTGAAGACAGATGTTGCTTATCACCCAACTCCTTACACAAGGACAACACCACGACACTCAGAACGCTGCTTAATCTCATGCATTTTACAATCCTACCACAGCTATTAATGCAGTAACCTGGTAAAGATGCTTAAATATCTTATGCAGGCTTGACTGCATAATCGCTGGGGCGTTGGAACAAGGTGCAATCACGGACAGCTCTTTGGCTGTCCCGCTGACAACGTCCATATCAACAAACAGAATGGCCCAAAGAGTTGGATCAGGGCAGTGAAACAATCCAAGCTAAGCACACCACTTCCAACCGTATATACTAGGAGAGGAGAGGAGGTGCTATTTTGGACTATCTTTAGTCTGGTCCCAAGCACCGAACCTCCGTCAGCACCTGCTACAAATCAGATGTGTTTCCATAGTGAATATTGCAGATAGTCACATGTAAAAGGCACGCATGGAAAATGAAGAAGACGATGAGATTTGCTCTGAAAAACTCAATCCTGCTCCTAAATAAAACACTCACATAAACGCAGTGTTGTGCTGTAACTGTTTGGCTGAAGCACAGTGCTGTCTCTGGAGTAGCAGTGACTGCATGAAGAGCTAGAAAACAAATTACTTGGCATTAGAGCAAAATATTTAATTCAGCGAAGCGAGCAAGGCAGAGAGGGGCGTGGGTGACTCCATCCCAACCTCGAGGTGCCGACGGGCGCTCTGCCCAGGGAGCAGGGCCGGGGGGCCGAGTGGGTGGCCCTGGGGACGCGGGGCTCCCCGTGCGTGTCCCGCCTGCGCGGCTCGGCCAGGCGCTGGGACCTGCCCGCGCACCGTCCGCCGCTGCAGCTTCTCTCTAGAAGCTTCCCCACGGGCACGTGCTGTCATTATTACAACTCAGCATCAATGGTATTAATATTTGCCTGAGGACAGGCTGAATCCAAACTGCCTATGAATATTTATTCTCATTAACAGGCTCGGGACACTAGGAGTGCCATAAAACACAAACATGTGATCAGCAATCTCATTTAGACAGATCACTTCATACACGCATTTTGTACATCTGCTATCTTTTTATCTTGGAGCCTACAGAAGAGGTAATATCCTAAAATAATATTTCGGTCTTTCAGACAGTTATTTTGAATTGATAAACCATACCCAAAGGTTGATTCAGACAGTGTTGATCAACATTTAACAACAAAATAACTTGAATGACACCTAGTGGAACGAAAAGCAATAGCTGATGACCACCCAGCAACGATGTACAGTTTCGAAGAGTGAAAACAGCAAGGAGGGAGAGCAAGAAAACAGCAAGAATGGGTGGGAGGAGAAAGAATTATTTCATAAAATGGGTGGTGTACAATTTAAGAGAACAAATTCCTAAATGACAAGAGTTTATCTGCCTGTGTAATAAACTTCAGAAGAAATGGGATATTTTATTTGAGCGAGGAAAAATTAAATGAGGTAAACCCACAATAACTGTGCAGTGGCAAACAAAACAGTAAGCGGAATGTGGATGGGATGAAATTCAGAGTCCTCCTATGTATAAATACTAAAAAGGCTTTAGCAGGCTAGTTCTCTAGGGTGCAGTAGGTAATAGGAATATTTTGGCTCTGGGGCAACAATAACTCCTGATGTGAGAGAAACCAGTTTTTCTTTAATTAATTTCTGCAAGCAATATATCCCTTGATTTGTGAATGGATTTCATGATCAATCTTTCTTTTTCATTCTTTTTGCTTATTTGCTTATTTGTATAATTCACCAGTGACTCGCACCCAATTATAAAGAAATATTTTGGTTAGTCTGTTCTCACCAACCTGTTTGAAAATATGAAAGAACAGACTCAATCAAGGTGATAGAATTCAAATGAGAAGCACTTTTGCTATCTATTGACAATGTGATGTGCAAGATTTTTCTGCACTGGAAATGGAAATGGTACTTGAGAAAGACTTCTGTCTTTCTAGGTCAAGAACAGGTCACTGACAGCAATAAATGACTATAACTCCTTAAAACCGTCTATGAAAAATAATGGCACGTTCTGCCTGAATTTCCTCCTAGCATGTCATGCATTTGACTGCACATTTATCTTTAATTTGCAGCTTTAATTCTTAACTGCAAGGGAAGTAGTAATCTCCCTTCAACCCTTTTTTCTCCCTATATGAGCAACCAGACACAGCACCCATGTAACTGGAAAAGTCAAGGCCCCAACAGAAAACTAATCCAGAGCAGTGTGCTTTCAGGGAGTCAGGCAGCGAGAGAGGTCTTGTTTGGGGAACAAGAGTGTCCAGAAATACTTCTCCACTGAGAGGACACAGAGCCTCTCACAGTGACGAAAAGTTCAAACGGATTCACTCTGTGGAAAACACATTTTCAGACTATAACAAGATTATAGCAGATAATAACTTTTTTTTTTTTTTTTTTTTTTTTCCCCCAGATTAGCTCTTAATAAATCCTCTTAAATGAAGAATCCTTATTTGGTCTACAAAAAGCCATAGCCCTAAAATCATAAATGCAAATGCCTTGTATTTTAAGTTTTGGTTCTGTCAGATACTCCCTGCACACATTCACCTCCACACAGAGCTGAAGAAACCGTCCCACGGACCTCAGCAGAGGTAGCAGGTTCAGGGGCTCAGCATGAGCAGCTAATTCTCCAGCCACGTGTGGCACGGCGGCCAGAGGGGCGTAGGACCACCTTTGGGAGGACTACCCATAGCACAGAATTTGGGTACGGGTTCCAGAGGATTCCGAACATTTCGCATCTGTTTCAATGCAAAAAGATGTAGCATTTCATTTCACCGTACAACGGGAAAATTTTTATTCTATGAGGCAGCATTTCTTAAGACATATGGCATAGATTGTGTGATACAGGAAACAGGCATAAGGAAAGACAGATATTTATGAAATCTATGGTCTAGTGATGTATCTTCCAAAAAAAAAATGAAACTATCCCTAAGACAGAAGGATTTTCCCATTATTAGCATTCCACTCACAGGTCCAGCTGTTGAACAGCTGACAGGCAGATGAACTATTCATTTAAGCAAGGGGGAATCACTTTCTTCATCTTATAGAAAATATCAAAATTCAAATGGGGTTTGAAGTACTTTTGTCTTCTCCCTCCAGCACTGTCTAAATTATCTTTTAAAATACTGAAGAGCAGAGATACACATTAAGTCATTTTCTTAAGCAAGTTCCTAGCAAACTTCAGGCTATTGGTAATTGTTTAGACTTAATGAAGAAAAGTAGACTTTAAATATAAGTAAGAATTAAACAATAAGAATTGCTCTCAGAATAATTCTAAATGTCAGAAATTTCCCTTCCCCCAAAGAACAGCATGTTATAAAGAAACAACAACTCAGAAGCAGGGCTCTTCTGCACATCTGCAACATCTGAAACTCACCTGGGTTTCATTTCCAAATGCAGAACACAGCTCAAAGCCTGTCCCCAAAACAACACACTAAACAAGAACTGGACAGAATTAAACATCAGATCCACAACACACTGGCTTTCCAAATGTCAACTGCTATCTTAATTTTAGAGCGTTCATGTTTGGTAGCTAAAGCAAAGGGAAACTTATTTCAATTCTATTCCAAAATTTCATGTACAGAGAAAAAAAAAAAAAAAAGAAAACAAAATCCAATTTTTGTTTTTCTTTTACACAAACATGGTATTCTTTATTTAGATGAACAGATACATGTATATTATAAACTGGTATCATCCTGAACTACTGGCTTTCCAGCCAAATATACACAGAGCACGTTATGTTCTAAGATGTCATGTTGCTGTTATTCAGCAGCTGATATTCTTCAGCAACTTGAGTGGGAAGAAAATTGCAGGACCATGGTCCACTTCTGAGCTGCACGCAGCTCTCGTGGCTGGGAAGAAAGGCTATCGGCAGGGAGCCAGCGAAGCCTTTCCCAGGGCACCCTCCCTGACTCCAAACCGATCCAGGACAACACAGAGGAATTATATTCCACCAAATATCACAAGAACCAAAATAGGAATTGAGCCACTGAACATGTGCCCTTCTTCACACGCAAGATGGTGTCAGGGGCACCTTCCTGCCAGAGTCAGCCCAGCCCAGGCACTTCTGCGCTGCTCTCCGTCACCAGCTACAGGGCACTCCCAGCCCCTCCGCCTGAGATCAGATCTCTAAATCCCTGATTAGCACAGAATTCTCCCTTTCACTTGTTGGCTTAGTCTTTTTTGAACCTGGGTGACCAGAATGAAATCCTGTGTTTGTCTGACTTTTCACAACTATTTCAACATTTTCCGCAGACAAGGAGATTCTTACAGCTGAGGAAAAAAACCCCTAGACTTCAGATGAGTCATTTTAGGTTTTCCAGACATTGTCAGGTTTAATGGGAAAACTATATTAGCAATAAAAAAAAAAATTCAAAAGCATTTCTCCTTGTCTGCAGAAAATACAAAAATGCCCCAATCGCTATAGGCCATGACACATGTTAACCATATAGAGCATCTTCCAATGCAAATGGTTTCCTATCATGCACAGGAAAAAGCTCATCTTCTTTAACACATTTCCTTACTGACTCTTTAAAAAGTCAGCTCCAGTTGCTATACGTACTCCAACACTTTACCAAGCAGAGGGAAAGGGCTCAAGGGGGAATAAATAAGGGTAAGCATCAATCAGGCATCTCACCAACTTTTCCTTTCTGCATTTTTGCTGCAGTTCTTATTTCTATTTGATTTGGAGTTTCTTGCTATTAATATATTAAATCAGAAGAGATCGTCTTTTCTATAGATATTGTTTTTTTTCCAGTCAGATGACATGGTCTGTCCTTTTAAGATGTCTATGTTGAAAAAACAGTTCTAGTAGATTTCTTGAAAAATAACAGGTGAGTATCTAAATTCAGCCCCAAAGATATTCAGACTAACTATCTGCTAAAAAAGGAATAGGACATTGTTAAAATTAATATAAAGGACATTCTATATAATGAATATCACAGCTTCCCTGTGATGAAGTTTTTAATTTTATGTAGCATTAATACAATTTAAAATATAGGAATGTGGCATTCAGATCAGGAATCTGAAGTTGTCCAGCTTTATTTTGAAAAGCTAATTACATAACCCTTGTAAATAAATGGAAGCAAATTAATTAAAAAAAAAAAATCAATCATTTTTTCCTACAATTTTAGTCTTTATTAAATGAAACTTCCTAGAGAAAAAAAAATAGTCTCATCTTATTTTAGGTTTTTAAGAGGAAAGCCTTTTAAAATTTTTTTGAGTTCTAAAATATCTCTATACTTGAAAACATTATTTTGAAGAAAGTTTTTTTTGAAATTCCATTCTATGTTAGTGTAATTTAAGCTCCTTACCACCTTAGTATGCAAAGAACTCTGTATTTGTTGTTAATAAGTCTGTTTTACTTGCTTGCTATTTCTCAGTCTTTGTCCAGTCCAATTTTAAAATCATACTCTTGTATGATTCTAATGTGCTTCTAATGCTTACCTGCAAACAATGTTATACAACAGTTTTCACCTTCTTCAGTTAAAGAGGAATTTTCTTTAAGTGTATAGTGTATGAAGAACCCCACACTCCCTACAGTATCTGCCATTCTCCAAGTAGTATACAAGGCAATATACGGTCAGATATTTTTGCTTCAATACTTACTAATTGCAAATTAAATGGAAACAAACAAACAAAAACCATTTTAATTATGGGATATATTAAAATCATAAAGAAAGATGGTTTCAAGATTGGAAATTCCCCAATCTGTGCAAGCAAGTTTGTATTTCAAATTCCAATCAAGTCTCAAGGCTAGCTATGTATTTTTAAATGCAAAGTAGTAGGAAATACAGGAAGGGAAGAGCTTTAGAGGTTTTAAACTGCCAAATAGAAGGGACTAAGACAGAAGTCTAGTGGGATCCACTCTACAGAAGTGGGAATGACATAGCAAAAGGGATAATTACCTGCTAGCCCAAAGCATGGTTATTTAATCCCTAAAAGAGAAGCAGTACCAGATATGCAAAATTTCCAATTCTCTATTCATCCAAATCTTAAACTGTATGTTCTCAGAGATGCATGAAGCTACAAGGCAGCAAAATAGAACTTTTTGCCACCTAAAAATATATACTTCCTGGATAGAATCTTCATGCTCTCAGAAAGAAGATGTTTAGAAATTTACATTGCTTAAACTCAATTTTGAAAACTGACTTCAACACACAGTTTTAACACTAGACTTATGAAGACACAGAAATGGAATCAAAATCTTTGCCTAAAACTAACCTCGTTTTTACCATTGTCTCCTGGTGACAATAATATATTTCATACAATTCTGAAGGAAAAGCAGTGAACTAGAGTCAAAATGAAAGGACTGTGCTCTCTCCCAATTGCATTGTTGCTACTTAATGTCAGGAAGAATGGCTCTGTGGGAAATACAGAAAGCTACAGATTTTCTTCCCAAAACCTAAACTTCACGAGTACTCCTGAGAAAGAAATAGCTGTGTTGTAGTTCTGCATTTAGAAACATGCTAATGAGCCATACTTATCAGATTATTATTCTTATTCTCTGGGTAGTTGGAGCATGAACAAGACAGAATTCATCACTGTTGCGGGATTTGCCATACCACTGCTGTTCCACGTGACCCAAACCGAAGTCTGTCCTCCCTCCTGCAGCTGTAAGTCACTGGGAGAAACGAAGGGTTTGCACATAGACTGCAGCTCCAGGAAGCTGACGACCGTGCCTGCCTTGCCCCGAAACACCAGGAGGCTTTATCTACAGAACAACAGCCTGACCTCAGTTCCTCCCGGTGCCCTGGACAGCTTGCACAGCCTGGAGGAAGTGAAAATGTTTGACAATCCTTGGGCCTGTGACTGTCACATTCTGTATCTAAAACTCTGGTTAGAAGACGTCTCTGCACCCTCTCTTGCAAGCGTCAGGTGCGCAACCCCAGCTCCCGTGAGGATGAAGCCCTTGGGGCAGCTCACTGGGAATGAGCTGGGGGGTTGTAAGAGGCTTCTCCCAATCAAGTGTCTTGAGTTCTTTTGGCGAGACATCATTTTAATTGCTGGAGCAATAATTACACTTATTTTAGTAGCATGGGCTCTGAAATTTTCAAAAAAGCTGGTCTACCAAATAAACCTAAGCCAGTACGACTCTAGGGGCTGACTGCTGGGGAGGTGTACCTCCAAAACCCTTGGGATACAATAAGCTGTTCACTACAACTAGCTTGAACAGAAACAGCAAACTATTCTACCACAAAAAAAGCACACGAACTGGCAACACTCATTTTAATATGCTACAAACAGACCCCGGGGATCAAAGTCTGGGTCCTCAGATAGGCAAGTTGGATTTCATTTCCTTTCAAAAATAAGCCTGGTGATGTATATTGACAGGCAAGTTTCATTCTGCTGTCATCTACTAATACAAAAAGCAGTTTCTAAATTATTAAAAATCATTTAACCTAGCATTTTTCCACTGAATTCTCAGCCCTTACAGCAAGAAGATTTACATCCCTAAATCCTACACTTTTTAATATATGGCGATAAACAGCAACTGTACTATTCTTTTCCCACGCAGAAGCTGTGAGAGTTTGCAACCCGTTACCCCCTCTCAGTGCACCAATGGGCTTGGTAGGACCATTCTTGTGTGCAAGCAAATTCAACCATCTCTTCCTCAGGTTCAGGAGTTTTCTCCTAGCAAAACAACCATGATTATATAGACTAGCCACTGAATGTATGCCTTACTGAATATGCTTAAAGATGGACGGGTAATGAGAATATAATCAGTCAAAAGAATGGTAAATATTGTTGAATTTCCTAGAGAGTGAACAATAAAAAAGCATTCTATGTGAAATTAAAATAATGGATGGTTATTGAAGATTCGTACTCACCCAAGCTTGATTTCTTTCACAATTCTACACACTTCTGATTAAAATCCTAAGAAATCTCCAAAGCTTGTCTTTCAGTTTTATTAGTGACATTTGATACACTGGGTTTTATGCAATAGCTTTGAAGACAATGTTGCCTCTTCCCTTCTTTTCTTGTGCTCCCCATCCTCACAGAAAAATTGTTCTGGTGACTCAAGCATACTGCCTTCTCCCTAACATGATTACTCACAAGACTCCAAGAACAGCAATTGATGCTGTGACCCCACCTGGTCTGGTGAAGCTAGACTAGTTAGATGGGAGGTCTGCGAAGGTCTTCTAAAATTAATACTACTGTTGGCTAAAGACTGCCTGGCTCTTTACCTAGCACCTTGTCACATGCGTGGGGCTCCTTGTTGAAGCACGTAATGTCCCTAGCAAAGCTGGTGGTTAGCTTTCTGCCGCTAGGCGGTTTTGCAATTGCCATGTGCTGTCACTTCTAGAAGATGAGACCCATTCCTAGCCACAAACACCCAAATCAAAGACAGCAGAAGCTCACAGGGGTATTTCCAGGTCCCTCGTGCCCCTGCCAAAAGCACTCCAGCAATAGGGAGTCAAACTCAACGCTGACTGCTGGCGACACTCTCGGACAGCTCTAGAAGAGACGCGTTACTGTCTGCAACAGATCTTCGCTGCTGGTCCTCTCTGCAGGGAAAGGGCAATCTGAGACATCACCACTTGTCAATTGAAACTAATGCCAGCTCAGGACGAGTCACTTGCCCCTCTCGGTGACACAAGGCACAGCCACTGAGTATGGCAGAACTGCCAAAAGGACCTCTGAAGTGCAGATAGATTTGGGGAAAGGACATGCGCCGTGGGTAGAGAGTTAATCAATTTAGCAGCAAAGCGTAGCATGCAGCTTTAGACTGAGAAAAGGAGAGGAAATAGAGTCTAATGTTTTCCCTGTAAAATAATAAATTATCTGGGAGACAACATGCCTATTGCAATGTTAAAGTCTGCAAATGGTACGCAGCGAGGAACAAGAAGTGGGAAGTCATAAATGCAATGAGCCGTGGGTTACTTGGAGTGCCAAGCAGTCAAAAGCAAGATTGTACATCTAGAAACAAAAGATGGGTTGAGGGCTCAATTCAGAGAAGGCAAAAAATCCAGTAATCACAATCTCCCACGTATGACTTTGCAGCAAAGGGCAAATGTGATCTTTTCTTGTTAAAACAGGGAATATCATTTAGGGATAGAAAGATTTATTTACTTCCATATTTAGATAAGCTACAATAATTCAGTATCAATATCTAAAAATCAAGAAGAATCAGCTGCAAAAGAATCAGAAAAGCAACTGTAATGCAAATAAAGGATTGGAAAATGTACCTTAAAGGAAGCTTAATCAATTTCATTTAATAAAGAGGAATTTAAGGAGTGACAAGATCACAGCTTGTATGAATCTACATGAAGAGAAATTTGCTCATGAAGGGCTAGGAGTAGAAATTAGAACATCAGGCTAGAAGCAGGGCTCCAGATCCAACCATGAATATAATCAAACACGGAAACAGCTCATCAAATGCCATGGTGAATCCTATAGCTTAACTAATACTGGGCAGTTTTTCACATTGGTAGGCACTACCTGAAATGAAAACGATTTTAACAGAATTGAACGATACACCTAAACTGCTATTCTTATTCCTCTGGTCACCTGTAAAATTTATGGTGGGACAGGCCATGAAAAGAGAGACCACAATTCAGCCTGCACCCGCTGAGCCCCGCTCCCACACTCCACAGCAGCAGAAATCTTCCACTCTACCTTCGACTGCATATTGCACCCTTCCCCAGGAGTACTCAAAGTGCATCAAAGAATTTGCATTTTACAAACTGTTGCAGCCCTGCTGCAGGGAAGTGAGCACCACAACCTAGAAACAGCATGTCTTAGTAAGGCTCTATCACCCTCCGGTGCAGACCAGAGTAAAACTGTGTCTTCGGATTTCTGTGCACATTTTGAGCAAGTGAGTACAAACATGCAGAATTTCTCTAGCTTTCCACATAATATTGTAGATTTATATTATATTATTCTACATAAACATTTATATTATGTTATTCTACATGAATAACCTCTGCAGGAGAGAATTTCAAATAAACACCTAGGAACACAGTGGTGGATGCACTTAGATAATTTGGGAATATTTTCTCTGCGCTGAGCTTTTTGATTTTTTAAAAGGCAACCACCATTTTGTATTAATGCAGAATACTACAGAAGAAATGCATTCTGCAGTCTCTCATGGAGAATTTCCCAAATGATATATCCTGTTCCCTCAAAATAAAATAAATCATTAACACTAAAAGCTTATCACTCTCTTTTGTGCCTATAAAGCTAGACATACATAAAATAATAAACTGCTTTACTGTATAGCTTTAATTGTACAAACGTTAAAAAAATCAGCAATCAGCAAATGTTTCTGCTTATACCAACAAACACATTGAATAAGATGCACAGAATACATGGAAAAAAAAAGAATCTGAGAGAACGTTTTCTGACCTCATAAGAGGAAAGAAGAGGGGATCTCTTCCACAGCAGTATTTCACATTCCACTAAAACAGTATTGTATTTATCGCTTCTGATCCATTTGGCTTTTACCTGAAAAACAAAACAAAACAAAACAAAAACCTCTGAAAAGGGGAAAGCTGGAAGTGCTAACTGAAGGCTCACAAACAACATTCAACTGTTTATCTAACAAGGCCCCTGTGTCATGCTGAAGCCACATATTCCATCAAATTGTATAAATAATGCTGCAGTTGCTAAAAACATGCAAAGACAGGAAATTACGTCAGCTATCTAAATGAAACATGCAGACAGTATTCCCAAAGGTGTTCATAAAGATCCCAGAAAATGTGACTATATCATGCCTGCAGGAGTGCAAACTAGTCAATATATCTGTTTTCACATTCTTTGGTAACATCGGTATAACTGCTGGGATTAACTGCAACTAAAAAGTTATGAGTTTGGGTTCAATATTTAGCAAGACAAGCAATCATACTCTGACTTATTGAACAAGAACAAAACATTATTTTTAAACAGTTCACTTTAATACACAGAGTAGATTTGTGTAAACTGCAAGTCTATGTAAACTGCGATTCAATTCATGTGGAAAATATTTGCAGGCTTCATTTCTTAAATAGAATCATAGGTGAATTACTTTTTTTTTTTTTTGAAGTGCTCAAGATTTTCTTAACATTGTAGCAAAAAGCATTGCTCAATCTGAAAAACTTCAGTTTAGCTTAAGGCTTTCTTTCTGTCTACGATCTGTAGTTAGAGTTTATTCCAGATCCATTGTTCGAGTTCATGCATCAGAGAAGTTTACTGCTTTTTTCTTTCTTTTTTTTCCTTTTCCCATTTGACACTAATAAATGTCCAGCACTGTTTAGAAAATAGCTACCAATGCCTTTGTGACTAAACACAAAAGGATGCTTAGAAACTAGGCACTTTGTTGTGACCTTACAATTCCATCCCACACCCAACCTACTTCAAATGCTACTCAAGGCAGTGACAGACTCTTCCTGGGTTTGGAACATTTAATGCCCACTCACAGATGAAACATGCAGACATTTTATTTCAACAGGTCTTACCACATTTGACTTCCAAGTTTCCCAGTTCTCCCAAACTTGACGTCACCGCATCTTGCACCCACGACAAGCACTGTCATGCATTCGTGTTTTACCTTTTGGCAGTTGGTTTCTAACGGATTTGGATTTTTTTTCACTTTTCCATTAATTCAATAAATCAACTGGGAATAAAAAAAAAGACTTCAGAACATCAGGATAACTCCTATTAAAGCAAGTGCAGTGTTCTTAAGTAACTAGTGCCTGAAATTTTAGTGTAATGAATGCTGGCTACACACATACAGGACCCTTACTAAAGGGCACCCAATGTGGGATGTCCACAAGAAACAGAGAGGTGAAATTCACTAGTTCTTCTTTAAAAAAAAAAAAAAAAAAAATTCTGTTCTCTATATACAGCCGGCTTCTTCACAAGGGCATAAGCATCTCACATGGCACTCCAATGAAATGTGAAAGAAAAAAAAACTTATGCACACATAGGGTATACATTGAAGCAACATGAATATTGGATTCTGGTACCACCGGAGTACTGGGTTGCTGGTAACATGGTCTGATCCCATGGCACGTAACACTCGGTATTTGGCTGTATTAACAGGCACACTTAAACCACTTCCTTGGGTAGTGCTGCCCCTTATGATGACTTACAGACAATTCTGAAGAAACTAACTTGTACACCTTCTAGTGCTGTCTAATGGTTGAATTTTTTCATAGTCCCTTTTTGCCCTTACTGTTTATTTGTTATCGCAAAGATCATCATCAAAACAACGAGTCACAAATACTCTTGGACAGAGTAGATTATTATCCTTCAGTGCTTGCCCCTACACCCACTCCAAAGAGGAGAAACCTGGTTTTATATATCATTAAGCTGTTTGCAGTTATTTTTGGTAAAGCTAGAAAAGAAAACCAGTCTGCATTTTAACCTTATTTTAAATTCCCTATTGTTTCAAAAATCTGGCCAAAAACAACAACAATAAAAAAATCTCAGTGGAAAACTAATGAATTTTAGAAAAAAACTTTGGTTATTACATTGTATGGGTTTTGGCTGAAGATCCTTAATTCAGGTCTGGAAATGGAATAGAACAACTTTTATAATGATATCATTGCTAGATGAGACAACTACTCCATACTTAAACAAAAATAAAAATGTATCTAGTTCTTCTTTTTCCATTTTATTTTATTTACTAACATCTTTGAGCAGTAAACTTAATTGCAGGCTACCAGATTATCCATTGACACAACTCCTTTCTTGAAAGTTGCACAGTTATTTACATGGCTTGTGTTCATTACAATAAACTAGTAAGGAAGAGGTCTTGGCGTGTAACAAAATAGTTTACATAGATCTGTGATGTAACAGATTAAAAATCCTCTAATC